GGGGTTGGGGATACGTTTGTCCCCGCGGAAGCTCCCTTCTCGCGTAGCGCGCGTCCCGCGGCAAACCTGCTGCTTGGCAGGGAGGCGGGGAGCGCGGGCGGCGGCCGTGGGAGGTGGGAGAAAATCCCTGCAGCGTCGCGGTTACGAGCGGAGACTGCGCTCGGAGAGAGTAACAGTAAAACCGAGGCAGCCGAGGCGCCGGTGACGCGTACTCCGGGGAATGTGCCAGGCAGCCGCCCTGGCTCCTCCTCGCGCAGCCCGCCCTGCCTCGGTGGCCACCTGCACCGAGCTTCCCCTCCGTCCAGCCATTGATCACGCCGCCGTCGCCTCCGGACCTCACCGTCCCTTCCTAACCCTATTGCATCATCCGCCGCCCTCATACCAGGGTGCGGGCGGCACTGTTCGCCTTTGACCTTCCCGTCGACTTGAATTATTGGCGCCGTGGTAGGTTATTTTCCAAGGTCTGGGGTTCAAGGCCGGGTTATTGCTTTCCCATGAGCCCACCCACCTACCTGGCTTGCGGTAGTAGGGTAGATCAAATACCTGCGAAGGGAAGGCTTCTAGCTCCCTGCTGAATTAGGGGTTTGAGCCAAGTCAAGGGCGGTGGGGGAGGGGGCCCCACCTGGAATCGGGCTAGGCACCGAGCATCCGCCCTGGTCAGCCTTGACCTGCTGCGAGAGTGCTGTTTGAAAAGGGAGGGGTGGTGGTCTCCGGTGGAGCTGGAGCTACTTGGCCAGCAGGACGAACGGCCCCTGTGCGTGGGGTGCTGGGCTGCTGGGGACCGAGCCAGGTCCTGAGCGAAACTCCGCGAGGAGGAGCGCACAAGTGCCAGCACGCAGGCTTGGCTGTCTGGAGGGGAGGCCCGAGGCGGAGAGCGCTCCTGGGAGTGGCCGGCGGGAGGTGCTTCTGCGGGCCTCCCACCGTCCTGGGCCTGAACTTCTGGAGCCTGGGAGAGACCGGGGGGAATAGGCAGTAGGAGAAGGGCCAGACACACAGGGTCGCCAGAGGCAGTCCTCGCACAAAGGCTAGCTAGGGAGAAGTCTCACACGAGCGCCTCCCAGGGTCTGCGCCAGATGCTCTGACTGCTGCAGTGAAAAGGGCAGATTAAATTTCCCCCTGGAGAGTCAGGCTCTTCCTCTGAGCTGATCCAAGGGCAGCAGAGCCCAGACCTCGATCTGTCTTCTGTCTTGTGCTGGGGGTTGCGCACAAACAGATTTGATGCTGTAGGGAAGGCATTGATGGATTCAATTCTAAAGGTTTCTTATTTCAGTAATTCCTATCATCTGAATTATTACCCAGCCTAGTGTTTAATGGGCTCTAATTCCCAGACATATCATGGTAATTGTTATGCCTCTTGGCCAGGACAGCTGGTGTGGTACCAATAATTAGCACCGTACTCCCTCCCTCCCCCAGACTTGTTTGGACCTAATGCTTGATAAGAATTACCCAGGCACCGGGTAGGACAGTGGGTCAGTTCCAGTCGTTGATAAGATATGTTGGGATTTTAGCTCCTGGTTGCAATGGATTTCTGTGTGCAAATCTTATACTTCCCTAGCTCTCATTTTCATCATCTGTAAAAGGGATCCAGAGCTATGGGTAAAGTACAGGATCTCTCCTAGCTATTCACCCCTTGGCTTTCATACATTGGACAGGCAGGTCTTTCTGCTTCCCAGGATGTTGGTTGGCATCAGCTCTTCATCCCAGTGGGTTTTCACAGCAGACAAAGCAAGCCAGCTCAGGGCAGAGCCAGGCTTCTCGGTGGATTTAGGAATGAGACTCATAGGGAGGAGTAATGGGTGGGCTCCTAGGAATGTTGGGTCTTGCACTCCTGTCTCAAATTTCAAGAGTTTCAGGACCACCAGTGTAGATTAGGTATCCAAGGGGCAAAATGGACTTTTTTTAAAAAAAGAAAAAAAATATATATTATTTTTCAAAGGTTGAAAAATGAAACAAGCAAAATATAGACAGTTTATAGTTGGAGGCTGTCCTTGGAACATGCAGATAAATATCTTCAAATATTTTGACACACTTAATCCAAACTCTACAGTTTATAGTCTCTAACACATAGTAGAATGCCTTGCACAAAAGTCACCCAATAAAATCTGATGAGTGAACAAAATGAATAATGATACACATAGTTTCCAAGGAGATGTGTTTTCCTGACTTTTATTACGATTGAATCACCTATACTCCAAGAATGGCAACTTTATAAATATTAACATCAAATTCATCAAATTAAATTGAACATAATCAAACAATCACTTGAAGTTTGTAATGAAATAATCACTGGCATATTTTTATTGCATGAAACAAAAACATGTATATTTAACAAAAATATAAAGGTTTGAAAACTGATTAGCAAAGTGTTGTACTGCAAAATTATTCTGGAATAAAATCCTAGAATTTAGATTTGTACAAATAGGAAAAGAGGCATGGGGAATTATTTAGAATTCCATAATGTTGTTTGTGGGGTGAGATGCTAATTCAACAATCAATAAGCAAGAGTTTAAATTCTAAGAACAACCTGTTTCAACCAAAAGTGTCTTGTCATTCATGAGTAAAATACACCTAGCAGGAAACATTGAATGGGCAACTAATTATTTTGAATACCTTTTAACATTTTTGCAATTCATCCCAAGTTTTCATGGCAAGTCTCTAAATAATATTTTTTTAAAAATGTTTGATATTTTCTTTGTCCACAAAGACATTTGCTTAGTTCAGGTTGTAAAAATAATTGCATACACTTTATGCCTCGATACATTTATTTTCCTCAACTGCTATTAGTTTAACTTTCAAGAGGACACCCAAGCCAAATCTGTAGAGTACTAAATGTCATTTTTCTCAAGACTTTGTGAAAGAGATTTATATTGGAAAAATTGGGGGTGTTGAACATCTGTTTTGTAGAAATAGTATAAATATTGTCCTTTGAATGGTATTCCTGTTTCATTCAGCCTCCTAGCAGAGGGGTAGCCATTCAGGGGTCAGAAATAGTTCTTCCATTAGCTGGCCTCTATTCCTATAAGGGATCAAGTTTTCCCTCATCAGGCGTATGATCATACATAAGCAAAGCTGTCAATTTGGATGCAGAAAGAACATTGAATGAAAGTTGGTTGTGTGGGGTCTTTGTATCATGAAAGAAAAGGAAATCATTCATTTCCCATTTTTTTAAGCCCATTAACTTACTATTTCCTTCCTTTTTTCCTTTTGTGTCTATATAAGCTGGTCCTCTATTAGGCCTTATGATGCAGTGCTTGCAGTACGGGGGAAAAAAAAACTGTCTTCACTTAATATACCTTATTGCCAGCCTTTGATAAATCCAGTACTATCAAGCTCTTAAACCCTAATGTCCAGTTCCACCTGGTTGCTAAATGTATTTTCCTTATGAGACTTCCAATGTGTATATATATATATATATATGTATATATACAGATCCTCTAGATCTTCAGGTAGGAAGCAGCCTCTCTACCCTCTCCCAGGCTTATAGTAGTCAAAGCAACCAGAAATGACACTTTGTCAGTTAAATTCTTATAGCTACTGGATATATCCCTCACCTCTAAGAAACAAAATCTTTGCAAAAATGCCATGGAAATCATCTAAGAGGCGAGATTATAAAAGGTAATCTTTTGTCTGTAATTTCTTTGTTTTACTAAAATATATTTTATTTTCATTATAAAATGAACACTTCACGAACACTCAGTGAATTTCTGCAAAACAATGGATAATAGTTTCAACATTTCAAAATAACTAGTGAGACCAAAGTAATTCTAGTATCTTAGACTTCAAAATCTGCCACGTGTGCCAAGCATAAAAGCGATTTGTAGCATGAAGCCAAATGTCTACTAATAATAGAAACTTAATCATTTTAAGGATCACCATATCTTTTCCTAGGAGATCTGATTGCAGGGTAATTTCAGCACATGTGATTTAGGGAGTAATAATCATTCATGCGAGCTTTTAACCAAGATGAGTTAAAGCATGTTTTATTTAAAGTGTATTATTAGTTTTAAAATACTCAATTCAGCAGCTAAAATTCCCCCACAATAATTATGCTATTGCCTCACAAGCAGTCTTTGGAATCTTGTCATGGTACAGACTCCTCTTAGGCCCTGACTGCTAAACTTAGCACTTCCTATTTAAATTTTAGCATTATTAGCAGAGAATGTAATATTTTTAAAGAATTTTTCTATTTAAAGGAATAGCAAGGAAAGAAAAACCTTACTTATGGCCTTACTTTTAGGGCAAATTTCTGTATAAACATAAATTTATGTACATTATTATGTGTATAGCTCAGATATCAAGACTGAGGAATGGCCTTGGTGACAAGTGTTCTAATGAAGTAGTTCTTAACAGGAATGGAAATATTTCAGCACTTTTGAAGATTGGTATGTAATTAACCCAAAAAACAACTTAAAAAGAGATCACTGGTTTCCGTTTAGGTGATTTAACCTATAAATGAATACATCTGAGCAAGGTGGACAGCTTTGGTTAGAAATCCAGTAAATCCATTTTCAGGCACTCTGCAGATGGTATCATGCTGTCCGGAGGAGAAGGGAGAAAAGGGAAGGGTTCCAAACTGGGCAGGAGCAGCTTCTGCCCTGAAGATCCTCACAGTTTAATCAAGGTGCCAGGACAAACCAAAGTGGTGAAAAAATGCGTGGTAA